GTGACTATCACTGAGCAATGCACCCCCTTTGATGGTGTCAAAACTTATCTGAAGGGCTTGCAGGACTCTGTACAGCCATGGTTCTGCCCTTGTTTGTTTTCCTCCGTGTGCCTTTGTAAATGATAAAATGTAAGCCTAGGATATAGGAGACAAATTAACATTTGGATGATTTATTTGGCATTTCGGTTAATCCAGAAGATGTAAGCATCTTTTGAGCAACTACCCTTTTCTGTCTACAATTTTAGTTTTGCTCTAAATTTCTGATTTTTACATGTGTGATTGGGCAGAATAAAAAGTGAATTGATTTTATTAGAGTAATAGGGAACTGTGAAGGTCAGTTTGCATTTTAAAGATAGATAGTTCTTATCAACTAACCAAACACAGCTTTGATTGACAACCATGATCCTGTTAAAGTCCATTCTCAATTTAAAAGGGTAGCTATATCAAATTCAGCGCTCGAAGTAGGCAAGTCGAGGCACTGAAGAGAATTAAGACTGTAATCAGATCCTTCCTATTAAGGAGCAAAGGCTACACCTTGAGCTTTAAAAATCCTTTCCTGAGAAGGGCAGCTTATATTAAGGTGTTCTTATGTTCATAGTCATTTTAAGTAGACCATGCATAAAGTTGCTGTGATATAATCGTAGGCTAGGCTGTGGAGGTGTTGCTGTGTGCCTGGTAGCTTAGCTCAGTAACTCCTCTGAAAGGTTCTTAGCTTAATAACTACTCCGAAAAACAATCTGGCACTTGGTCTGAACATTTGTTTTGTTGTTCAGAACATAAACTGGAACATCTTAATGTGAAAAGACTAGTGATTTGTTCTAAGACTAACATGTGTGGTCTTTTGCAGTCTTTTTAATTGCTCTGTTCTTGTTTCTAGGCTTGACCATCAAAGAATTGCTGATATATTTGTAAAGAAAGGTCCCTACTTAAAGATGTATTCAACTTACATCAAAGAATTTGATAAAAATGTGGCACTGTTAGATGAACAGTGTAAGAAGAATGCAGGTTTTGCTTCAGTGGTTAAAGACTTTGAGGTACTGTAGACTTCTATTAAGATTTTGTGGATTTTCAGAACTTGTGAACCTACGTGCTTTAAGAGGCCCTTGTAAGGTTTTAGAGACCATCCTCGAAATTATTTATTCTTTTCTGATGCAAAATTTTGGTTTGAGACCTAGAGAGGTGGAAGTGGAAAGAAGTAAATTCAGACTTTCTAAAGTGACTAGTGATTTTGACAGTCACTGAGATACGATAAATGATCTTGATTTTCAGAAAATTCAGCACTTGTCACAAAATATGTCAAAAACATATTGACAGGATTACTAGCTGCTTTTTCTTTAATGTTTTTTTTTCCTCCTGATTGTATTGTGCACAAATTAATGTCTTATTTGAACCAAATTGACTTTGTTACCCATCACAAGGCAGTAGATAGCTCTAAAGACTTCTGCTGCATTTCAGTTGGAAAGATAGAAATATGACTTTTCTGATTTGCAGACTTCCAGAAGTCTTCTTAAGCAGCACATGCAACAATTAGATGAATGTTGATTTATGTCCCTAAGATCACTACCAAATATTAACTTAAACCCCTTCACACAAATGAGCGAAGAGGTGCAAACTTCCTAAATGCCAGCCACACAGATGTTTTAGTCATTCTAGAAGAGTTTCCCATCACCCTGCAGAGATTATGGTGGCATTAAAGGAATTGTTGAAATTGACACAAAATGCTCAAATCAGCACTAATAATTTTATTTTTAGCAAAGACACAGTCATTTAACCACGAGAAATGAAATAGCTGATATCTGGCAAAATGAACTGACCTCATATCACACGACACAGGCTTCCCCTTGGGTAATGCCTGCTCTGTTTGTTTACAAATGGTTAGAGAGGCTATTTACAGTAGATAGAGGAAGACGTTGAGGAACAGAGTCAGGAAAGATAGGAAGAGGAAAAGAGGTCATTTCAAAGACTGGTGTTTCTGATACACATTATTTTGATTGCAAACTCAAGAGAATTACAATTTTTGGAGCATTCTGCCTACTGGATGTTGACAGTAATTACAGATAAGTCTTTGCCACTGGTGTTTTTTTATTTCTAGGAAGGAATATAGTAATTCATTAAAAATATTTTGAATCTACAGAGATTTGTATGTTTACTGTTTTTCTTACTGTTATTTCTTTTTAACTCATGATTAATTTTGCATGTCTCCTATATAGGGAAGTGCTTGCCCTGTAGTGCAGCATAGCACTACAGTAGTCCCATCTTTATCTTAAAAAGCTTACTTGCTATCATTGGTAGTTGTTTAAAGGTATATTTTCTTTTGCTGGAACCGTTGACTGCAACAGAATTGGTATTTATACATTGGGTGTTTCTTTCAGATGAGCCCCCGCTGTGCTAGTCTCGCACTCAAGCACTATTTGCTCAAGCCCGTTCAGAGGATTCCCCAGTACAGGCTCCTTTTGACAGGTACAGTCAAGCTCTTCTATAGGCGTAAGACGCCAGTTTTCACATTCACATGTCCCAGGAAGTTTGTTTTAGGCAGTGGTACCCATCCATATTTATCTGACTTCAGGTATATATGTATTTTTTTTAAATGTCATGGTTTGAGAGGTTTTTTTTGTTAAGGTTGATGGCAATAAGATGCACAGAGGGTTTGCACAGTGGTTTGTTCTCTGCTGGGAGCATTCAGCTGTGCTTTGCAAACATGAAACCTGTGAAGATTTTTGGTTTGTTTTTGTGGTAACTGAAGACATTAATTTAGTTAAAGGATTGGAAAGCTTTGTGTTTTGTTTTGTTTTTTAATTCAGAAGGGAAAAAAAGTAGCATGGAAAATTGGAACTAGGAGAAGCAAATGAGATGTGCACACATATCTTCCAAGCTCGTCTTGAAAGTATCTTATCCATGCTTCCCCACCCAGGTGTTTTGTATCAAAAATCTTTTCTCTTTTAAAGTGAAACAAGGCTTTTCAGCTTAAATTTCAGAAAGTGCTTAAGGCTTGCTATGGGGGTTGCAACCTATCTTAAGCTAAAGAGCTGGCGTGGACCTGGGAGAGCTGGGTTCCCTTCCCTGTTCTGGCACCCTGTTTGGGTGACCTTGATCAAGCCTTGAGCAGTGTTTCCTCCTCCATAAAAGGAGGACAATTATACAGGCTGCCTTTGTGAAGTCTTTTGCTATGTTTTTGTTGTAAGAAGGGGATGGCTCCTGTAAGGAACTGGAAATACTTAAGAGTGTTTTTGAAAGCCATTGCTTCTCCAGGAGTGATTTAAAAATAGCCTCTGTTTATATAGTAACTACAAAATAAAATGCTCTGTGACCTTTCTTTGGCTCTTTAGCAGTTTGCTGGCATTTCCCCAGCAAGTGTTTATACTACTGATGCTGTGGCAGATATAGACTTAAGTGGTACATAGAAGTTAATAACTTATTCAAAAGGATTATTTTCATTTTAATCATTTCATTAAAGTCACAGATGGGGAAAAGGGCGGAAAGCTCTTATTAAATTGGCTACTTTTTTTTT